TTTTTTTATTATTCGTTTTCTTGGTGACGCGTCGAACGAACTAAGTTTCGTTAAATGTGTGAGGTATAAGAATAGTAGTAATATAATCGTTACTGAGAATCTTGCCCCTTTAGTTTCTGCTTCATTGAGAGAATTGTTTCGATTGCATGGGAGCTCTGATGATTATTTACTTGGCAGTTAAAATGTTAAAGCCTTCATTATCTAAACCCAATTCGAACGCCGCTGTATCCGCCGAAGATCCTTAAGAAAAAGCTATTCCCTCGAATACAAGAGAACAATTGTTCGCCGAACAAAGTATCTTAGACCTCGTCTCGAAACCGTCTTATAGATTTCGTGTTCATCGATGCTTACACGCTGTTGCTGTAGTTACATTTATAGTCTCCCCCGGACGTTCCATCGAAATTAACCAAAGAACAGTGTTGATTTACACGGCTGTTTACACAGGCAGTTCATGAATCGATTTTTATCGGGAACTTTAATCAAGTTTTCTATTTAGCCGTGCCAGCCGTGAAGCAATCACGCTCGCGTCTCGGTAAATTACCGCTATTTTATGTTTGCGACTCGCGTTTCGTCTATCGCGCGCGAGATTGATGCTCTTGGCTCCCGAAGAAAAATCGGCGTTTTACGCGCGTTACACCGTAATGGAAGGAGACGGAAACACCGGTATATTATTGTCTCAGCATTGACACCTTAATTAATTCTTCATCCCCGACGTATCGGTGGAGCCTATCCAACAGGCTCGCGGTGAATTCCCGCGGCGATCCCCGACGAGCCTCTCGGCGTTCCTAGATCGCGCGCCGCGTACCGGAGCGAAACGACCCGATTCTACCCGCATCCCGCGCGAGGAATTTATTAGACGAGAAACTCGTTAATAACGCCTCTAAATAAAATACGCATCGGAAAACACTCGGCCGTGTCGCGCGCGTATAAATTAACCGTCCAGCGATCGTGGCCCGGTAAATCGTTCGCCTCGGTCACGCTCCTCCTACGAGGCGGATTATTAATTCGTTTCATAGGCGTTCAATTAACCCGGACCCGGACTCGCGGAAATGAATTATTCCGCGTGGCGCGCGTTGTCGAGCCGCGGAAATTTACGGCTGTCGCCTCGCATAAATAGCCGGGTCTCTTTAGCACCGCGAAATTTACGGACGCCACTGTGGCCGATCGCTTCTTAACGTTTCCGCGGGGCTGGGGAAATTTTACAAGAGACAGAGGAATCTTCCGTGCACCGTTAACGATATTAGACGTCATGTGGTTGATGTGGAACGAGATTTTTCGGGTGCAGTGACGAACCGTTTAATTAATAGTGACTACTAGTGACGCTTGGGTAACAGGTTTTGAAGGCTGTTCGCCACTATGCTCGTGTACCATTTTCCTATCGACAATTTGTAAATGCAACAAAATTGTCCATTCCACTTCAAGTGCAATTTTAATTGAAGATAATACAATGATAATAGCAAAATAGTTGCTTTCTTCGATCCGTGGGTAACGAGTAACATCGATTGTTGTCAAATTAGTCTAGAAATCTTCATCGTGAGTCTCACTCGTCATTCTATGGCAAGGGGTTAACTGAGAAGCGAACTGATCTGAAACTGAAATTACAGGAACATGGCTGTTCGATGCAGACGGTGGACCTGGTGGCGGACTGTCCGCTGCAGGTAGTGACACCATCCTCGAGGTCGCCGTCACCGCCGAGATCGCCGACACCTGCGACGCCCCCAACGCCCCTCGCACTGCCGAGGAGCATGGGGCAACGGCCAAGCACCCTCTTGCGCCCCAAGATCTCTTTGACCTGGGTTTTACGCGGGCAACAGCAACCCGCCGGCAACAATAATCATTCGAGTGGCAATGGGAACGCAGGTAAAGGTCAGATTTCAATATCAATTCAAATTTCAAGATCAGATTTTTTTATCAATCCGATTTCTCTTTAGAACCAAGACAATGAGTTATATTTTCGATTTTGTTTACTGCGAAAAATGAGGACTGAGACTTCTGACGTGTCTTGTAGAGCGAATGAATTTTCTTGTACACAGGTGCCAACGGCGATCGAGAGAGCCTGTCCCGAGACACTAAGGAAAGGTCCTCGAAGAGGAGCGTGAAGAGTGTGAAGGAGAAGGTCGCCGGCAAAGAGAACCTCGAAGGAGAGAAGAGGGAGAAGAAGAGCCTGCAGAGGGTGGAGAAGATCGAGAAGGAGAAGGCGGAGGTTCAAGAGAAGGTTCTTTGAAAATTCAAGTCTTTCGAATAGCTCAAGATTCACGGAGGTGTTAACACCGATGCCCATCATGTTTCCAGACGATCAGCAAAGAGGTCTTGCTTAACGAGAGCTCTCTAGACAGTCCTCTGGAAAAACAGTCCGAGAAGGAATTCCCAGGACTGAAGGAGACCAAGGAGAAGGAGAAAGTGAAGAGAGCGGTGTCCGAGCCGTCCCTCGTGTCCCGCGAGTCGACGTCCACGCCGAGTGGCCGGGAAAAGCACAGACACAGACGAACGAAACGATCCCACAAGCCTAGACCTCCTAGTAGATTCGGTTACGAGATTGCTGATCTTGATGCGTTCCTCACGAAGGTATCATCATTCGAGAGTGTCATTTAGAATTACTCGTTAGACGAGGTAAACATATTTTCAATTCCTCCAGGCCTCCATTGAGAAACCAGCGAATATTCCAGTGGTGTTGTCCTTTCCATCGGTGCTGTACCAAACTCAGGGTGGTACTCAGGATGAGATGGCTCTTCCCCTTGGAACGGTGGTGAACGCAGTCTTCAAAAACCAAACCTGGTTGTACGTTCAAACCCCCCATGGCCAGGAGGGCTACGTTGGCTATGCTGCCTGCCTCCCTTTGGGAATATTGCCTCAGCCAACGAGAGGACCTTGCTGGGAGGACTCCACGGATGTGTTTCCACGGCCTTTAGGTAGACCCTCGAATACGTCAATGCCAGAATAGTTTAGGGAAGTCTAAAAATGAAATAGCTTTAACAACTTTGGAACTTATGATTGAGAGCATGCAATGTTTTGATAACCTTGTACAGCTGATATATGTGGATCCTTGTTCCTTCATGCAGGTAATATGACTGACACGGAAAAGCTGAGGGACACTAGGTCCGAGTGCGGCGCCCGTGGCAGGAATACCAGGGTGAGACGAGGCTCTAGGGACGCCGTGTCAGCTTGCGGGGAACGCAGCGTGGACAGATTGTACCTCAGGGCTGCGGCGAATGCTAGAACCAAAGGATCGCGTCACACTTTATTAATTATACGTAGCGACTACGAGGGTCGAGGTGGAAACGCGTTAAGCGTCTCCAAAGGAGACGTGGTTGCCCTCCTCAGCGACCACGTTAGCGATTGGTTCTGGGTTCGATCGCGGGACGGCAGAGAAGGCTTCATACCTGCAGTTATCGCTGGTCATGGTTTCCTGTGATCGCCCTGCACAACTGTGTCACCGTAGATTTTAAAGATAATATTAATCCCATCGGTTCGAACATCGTAAAGGGTCAGCACTCCTTATGCGAAGAGCCTGTAGTCACATTTGTTTTATATGTTCATTCGAACGCCCCGAGTTATGTTTCCACGCTCACAGGTGCAGAAACGGACGCTTTTGCGCGGCTCCCGAAGGATTGAGCGTTTTTAATGCGAAGTATATCCTCACGTGATATCGACGAGTAACGACACTTGTATATTTTGTAAAAAGTCTTTTTATATCATGTTTTATAAAATGCACATTGTATTAATATATTTATTAAAGAATATATGTATACGTAACGAACCCCCCCGCCCCATTCCCGGCACTCCTGTTGATCAAGAGGTAATTTGGATTTGATCCGGTACATGCTTTGCTACACAAACTTCAACATTAGTTCACGATAATTAAAGTTCGTGCATACGTCAAGATTGTTCGAGGAACCGCCTATACTGAGCGCCTTCTGAGGAGTTTCTTGGTAAACAATGGTGTATACTGTGTTACTAGAAGTCGGCACTTTGGCTAACATCTCCCCTTGGTATGTTAGATGATAGACGTGCGGCGATCCTCCAGCAGCAATCACGCGTTCTTCATAAATATTCGCCACGTGAATCCCCTCGTCCGGTAATTCGAACACGGTAGCTGCTTCCATCGTACGCATGTGCCACAGCGACAAACTTGGTCCACCTCCGCATAACTAAGAAGAATTATGTACGTAAACTATTAAATTTTGAATCATTGTTTTATAATAAATTGTACAATGCAATATACGGACCAGCCAGTCATCCGTGAAATCCACAGCGCCAATCCATTTGCCCAACCAAGATCGCGCAACTTTGTTCACCAAATGTGGCGTCAGTATATTAGTATTTTCTTTTTTACGCAAATCCCATAACCTGACTGTTCCGTCTTCCCCGCCTGATGCTAGTTGATTGCCCCTAGGAATAAAGATTGCATTCTAGAATTTATATGAGTGACCTTATTATCGAATTATTATATAAAAAATATTGTTTGTGGTAACACAACTCGATTATTACTTGGTACATACGTCAGTGACAGGCAATGAATATAATCTGTGTGCCCTTGTAAACTTCGTACAATTCTACCATCTTCCAAACTAATTACATAAATATTATTATCACCACATCCAGCATACAACAGGTTACTTTGTTTAGAATATACTAAGTAGTTAACATCTGGCTTTTCATAACTGTCCCTGAAAATTTTAATATTGAATTTTAATACATATACACTCTGTATTTCATTTTAAGATTATTGGCTTATGATTTTATAGTGACTGTGAACATACTTATTAACAGGTAGCTGAACGGTCCACGAAACCTTAATTTTAGTTGCTTTACTAGAAGTAACCATTTTCCAATTCCATCCATGCACTTCTCCAGATGTTCCAGTGACTAGAAAATTATCTGTGGATACCATACTCATTACCTGTTGATCAGGATGAGCAGTAAACTGATACGTAGGCCCTTGTAATTCATTTTCATCCACTTTATGTGGCCCTAGAGCTTTTGATAATCTGTAAAGATATTAATATAAGTATTGATTCCTCACTGAATCTAAATCGTCCAATATTGTACAATATAATTTAACAATTCAGTCAACATAAATTAGTCACAACTAACATTAACTTAACCTATAGCTTATAGTATTCATGTTTACTGTTGTTTACACTGTAAGTTCACTTACTCAAAAACAGATACATCTCCATAAATATTCCCAGCTGCCAAATAGTTTCCATCCGGAGAAAAAGTTTGAGACAGTACTGTGTTATAAAATAACTTACGATTAAACGTTTCAGACATCATTTTTCAGCAATCACAGTATGTATCATGTCACTGATTGTGGTTAGGAAATCGAAATCAAATACAGAACAAGATGTATTTAATTGATAATTCTATTAACACTAAACGTATATGTAAAATGTAAAAATGCTTTTATAAGAACATTTTATTACATATTTCTCAATTTTTGCATTTAGCGGTGCTCCAACATTTTACACAACAATAGTTGATTTGGTAGCGCCACTTAACGAAACAATCCAGTACTTTTTGGCTAAAAGATTAACCGGGTCTCGATATGGTAGCAAACTTCTAAACCCATTTTATTGATAAATCGCATTTACCGATTGTTATGTTTTTCATTATTAAGATTATCAATTTTATATTATGCTTTTCAGTGTTTATAAATATTTATTCAATGCATTAAAAGTTCTTCAGAGAGACAAGGCTATAGTCAATGTGTCGGCAATGTAGATTGTAGATAAAGTCAATTTCTAATTGTTATTAAAAATCTAACTATACATTTTTAAATTCTTGTATTAATATCCGTAATATTCTTCTTATAAATAGTGAGTTAGAAACAAGTTGTGACAGAAGTTAAAATATTTTATTCGTTAAAATATTATCGATAAAAATATTTCAACATTTTTAGTGAACCATCGATTTCGGTGAACATAAAATTCAATGTCGCGACAGAGAACTTCCAAGAATTAAATAAATGATACTAGAATATAAATTCCAATGACTAGTGGACAAAAATATTTTCGTACTGTCCATCGTCATTCAATTCCAGGAATTTAATAATCGCTCGGCTGTCGCGATTTTTATTCCGAACGCGCAGGTACCATGAATCCTCCGGATCAACCCTTGTTATGGGATTAAGCGAACAACCCATCTCGCAAAAGCAAAATACCCTAAATTCCTTAGATTCTTTAATAGATAAATAGCCACAGGTAATAATAGCGGGGAGCGGTAGCGAATACAACCGGAAATCGCCGAATATCGCCGATAAGGGATGAAACATGGAGTGAAATTTTAGTATCAGTTCTCCGCGAGTCGCCGTTCGCGAAGGAGCTCTCTCCTCTCTCGTCTCTTAGACAATCAGTCGTGTCTTGGCGTAGTTGTGGACGTCGGGCTTCGTATGGCTTCAATCGAGTTTATTGAAAAGTATTGGACAATGTCGGACAGTGTTAGACTTTATGGAAAAGTATTGGACAATATGTATACGCGTTACTATTATTCCACATGTATTGCTAACTGCTTTACTTACTACTTCGTTATTTATTACTATTATTAGACTGCGGACCTTCATACGAATTAAAACGTTCTCAGAATATAATCGAAGACATAGAATTGCAATAGAAAATTATTTTTCCCAGCAAACATTGTAAAACAGCACCAAGATTTGAATATTTCATACTCGTATGTTTTCTCGTATCGCGCGCATTACGTCCAGCTCTGAAATTTCCTAGAAATGCATAAAAATTCGGAAATGGGTCCCTCGCAGCAACCTCCTCGTGGTGGGCCTGGAAACTAGCAGCGTCGCCGACAGAGTAGTTCCTATCGAGGATGCTGCTAGGCCAATGGTTGCGAAATTGTCTAAATATGCCGAGCAGTTATTCCTTAATTTAATGTAATTATTCTTTACTTTAATGTAATAATTCCGCTTGTTTCTCCAATTCCGGTTCACTTAGCCATGCAATGCAAGTGGATCGGGCCGTGTGTCACATCAGCCATTCTGCCGTTCTCGTACCTCGGTGTGACCGACTCATCGGATCATGATGGTGGAGCCGGAATCGGTACCCAGTTGCCGGTGTGCACTCCGTGGGTAGGGCGACCGGTTCGCCTGTGCCCATCGAAGCCATAAATCGCCGCGGGATCCTACTTCTTTGTAATCCGCTCCTAATCCTCTCTGAGGACGGGGCGTTGGGAAGTTAATGGGGGAAGGCGGTGCCGGTGGAGATCATCCTCTGTTCCGATGACGAGGGAGCATCGTAACTCGGCACGGTGGGCTGACTGGTCTGATCGCGGTTTGCTTCGCGTCACCCTGATTTTGCCTTTTTTAATCAGAGACTTCTTCTCTGATTTGTCTCATATCCGAATCATGGACTTCTTCCTTGATTCACTCCCTTTGCTTCTTGGCCTGATAATTGCTCGACATATCTGCGTCCAATGTGTCGTATTCCAAGTCTAAAGTAAGGTAGAATTAAGATTGTAATCCCTGACTTTGCTCTTGCTGAATCAGAGACTTCTTCTCTGATTGGAATAATGAACGAATCAAGGACTTCTTCCTTGATTCACTCCCCATACTGCGATGATTGTATAGTTTAAGTTATCCGTTAAGGCTAAGCTAAACTTAGAATTAAGATTGTAATCCCTCGTTTTGCTCTTGCTGAATCAGAGACTTCTTCTCTGATTGGAATGATGATCGAATCAAGGACTTTTTCCTTGATTCACTCCCCATACTGCGATGATTGTATAGTTTAAGTTATCCGTTAAGGCTAAGCTAAGTTAGAAATAAGCGTGCGAAAGAAGACGTCGATCATCCGCCGTGGGATACTTCATTTCAGACTCAAGAAAGAAAACAGCCGCCGTGGGATTATTATTAAGTGCGTTAGTAGTAAGTGCGTTAAGGCTAAGCTAAGTTCGATATAAGCGTGCGAAAGAAGACTTCGATCATCCGCCGTGGGATACTTCATTTCAGGCTCAAGAAAGAAAACAGCCGCCGTGGGATTATTATTAAGTGCGTTAGAAATAAGTGCGTTAAAAATAAGTGCGTTAAAAATAAGTGCGTTAAAAATAAGTGCGTTAAAAATAAGTGCGTTAAAAATAAAGATAAGACTTAGATGTAGAAAGGGAGGTCGGTGGAATCGAATTTCCACCCACCTCCCAGGGTCTCATTCGCAGCAACCTCCACGTGGTAGACCTGGAAACTAGCAGCATCGCCGATAACGTAATTCGTATCGAGGATGATGCTAGGCTAATGGCTGCGAGATTGTATAAAATAGTATTAAGACATTGT